TCTCGGTAGCCAGCGTCATTACACGGCTAAAGACGAGCGCCTCCATCAGGCACGCCCAAGTACACGCCTCGTTGAACCGGGCACTGCACAGGCCTCGACTCCAACAAACACAGTTCTGTGGTAAGTCAAACGATACGAGCGGATGCATAGGCGGGGGCGAATAGCACATGTCGTTCTTTGTATTCTGACGTGCGCGTTGCCGCCATGAACACCTTTTGCGGCTCAAAGGGCACAGCACGTGGGGCTGGTTCAGTGTCTGACACAGTGCCGTTTCACCAGCGCGCGCAAGACACGCCTGCTGTTCTGCGAACAATGCTTGCCATATAGCCTTCTAGGACCCAAAGCTGACCAGCGCATTTGTAGATTCTACTTGAACCACCGCAGACGCATTCTCATTCCGCCTCTTCAGCTCTTCACCTGCCGACTATCCAGCAATTGCGACCCCGCAATCACTGAGCCCAGCTCAATTGACCCAATTCACTGCGCATCAGCGCGTTCCAACCACAACAACCGCCAACATGCCTCCAGCGGGGAGTGGCAGCTCTAGAAAGATCTCTTTCAATGTCTCAGAGCAGTACGATATCCAAGATGTCGTCGGAGAGGGCGCATACGGTGTTGTTTGGTAGGCTTCACCTGTCAGTACCAGCCAGTCTGCTGCTAACCACGCGACAGCTCCGCATTACACAAGCCGTCAGGCCAGAAGGTCGCCATCAAGAAGATCACGCCCTTTGACCACTCCATGTTCTGTCTGAGAACACTGCGAGAGATGAAGCTACTCCGCTACTTCAACCACGAGAACATCATCTCCATTCTCGACATCCAGAAGCCTCGGAACTACGAGACCTTCACCGAAGTGTACCTGATCCAGGTTTGTAACTCCAACATCTCATGGCATTCGTGGTCACTAACCCTGTACCCAGGAACTCATGGAGACCGACATGCACCGCGTCATTCGCACACAGGAGCTTTCGGACGACCATTGCCAGTACTTCATCTACCAGACCCTGCGCGCGCTGAAGGCCATGCACTCCGCGAACGTTCTGCACCGCGATCTCAAGCCTTCCAACTTGCTCCTCAACGCCAACTGCGATCTCAAGGTCTGCGATTTCGGTCTGGCTCGATCAGCCGCCTCCACCGAAGACAACTCGGGTTTCATGACGGAATACGTTGCAACGCGATGGTACCGTGCGCCCGAGATTATGCTTACCTTCAAGGAGTACACAAAGGCCATCGATGTATGGAGTGTAGGATGCATTCTAGCAGAGATGCTTAGCGGAAAGCCTCTGTTCCCAGGAAAGGACTGTAAGTGTTGTGCCAGTACCGTTGTCGGAAATGATACTAACAATCATCAGACCACCACCAGCTTACGTTGATTCTCGATGTGCTCGGCACACCCACCATGGAAGACTACTACGGTATCAAGTCCCGCCGAGCTCGCGAATACATCCGATCGCTGCCCTTCAAGAAGAAGATCCCGTGGAAGGCCATGTTCCCCAAGACCAACGACCTGGCGCTTGACCTGCTTGAGCGGTTACTCGCTTTCAACCCCGTCAAGCGTATTACGGTCGAGGATGCGCTCAAGCACCCGTACCTTGAACCGTACCACGACCCAGATGACGAGCCGACCGCCGACCCGATTCCAGAGGAGTTCTTCGACTTTGACAAGAACAAGGACAACCTGACAAAGGAGCAGCTGAAGCGTAAGTCAAAGATCATATGCGTGCCCTGAACCTCTGCTAACTTTCGATAGTCCTCATCTACCAGGAGATTATGCGATAAACTTGTCCACGTTTCCCCCCTCAAATCCGAGATATACACAAGATACCACGATCGAGTCGATTTCCGCAACTTGTCCACAGCTAGCTGGTCTGAGCTCATTACCATATTCGAGGAAGGTTCTACAATCGTCCTGTAATTTGGATTCGCAGCAAGACATGATGTTAGCCAAGTGGCGGTAGGAAAGCATACGAGGAGATGTCGCTTCGAATTCGCGCTCTCTCAAGAAAGAAAGAATCTCCTATAACCACAGTTCGTAAGATAGGAAAAGGCAGAAATGAATTGCTTGTTTGCAATCCCAGATGTCGACTTTGCATGTGCCCATGAATGTGAGTGCTTTGTTTGGGAAAGTATGCTACATCTTCAATGCCCAATCCATGCGTTGAATCTTCTCTTCCTCCCTAGTACCTCTCCTACTACGCTGTTGTCCATCCCAGATCACGCCTTCAAAGTTCATCTCACCTCGCGCCTGCACCTGCGTATCCGTGGGCCTCGTCCAATCGTAGATAACCGACTCGCATCTACTCCCTTTCCAAGACGCATGCGCACTTCCCGTACTATTTCCACTCATTCCCTGCGAATCATCTAGATGATCCCTAACCTCCGGCTCCGACACAGCGTCCAACACAGACGACCGCCGCGTCGGACTCGTCGTTGAGCCCCTTCGAGCAACTTCGTTCCACCACCGCTTATCATATGCATCATATGAGAGCGAGGAACTGCGCCGACGTGCTGGAACGGGGTAGATGGGGTTATGCAGTGGAAGTGGATCGAAAGAGCCTCTGAGAGACTGACGCCGGGAGTGTGTGCGTGAAGGACGCTCTGTTGATGTCAACGGAAGCGTATTCTCGTGTATAGCAAAGGCATTGGGGCCTAGTGTTGTAGACCGCGAGTCGTGCGCCCGCCACTGAGCTAGTCCGGGCCATTTCCTCTTCTCAACATCTCCGCTATTGTATAGAGAGGTTGGCGTCGTGGCACTGGTCGATGAAGATGAAGACCCAGCAACAGAATCCTTCCTCACAACCACGGATTTCAGCTTCAACAAACTCGCCGCTCTGCTCCTCCTCGTATCTTGGCTACCATGCCCACAGGAACTACACTGCCGGTTCCACGTCACTCTTCCCGTTACTGGATTGACATCGTAGTTTCCACCACTCAATTGCGTTTGTGACTGGCGCTCTAGATCGGCTTGTCGCTTGTGTGCGAAGTGGAGGCGGAGGTACCATGCTATAGCTACGAGTATGAGGAAGAGGAGTATGGAGAGGGCGATGGCGGAGTTGCGGTCGATGTTTGTGGAGGGATTGGTGGTGGAAGATGCGGAGTCGGATTTGTGTTTACTTGCTATTGCACCACCGGCCATGGCGGCGACCGACATGCTGAGGTTGTTGAGTGGTTTTGCTGGGAGGGACGGCTGGTGGAGGCATTGGTGGACATGTGCACGGGAAGCCGGCGGAAGTGGTGATGTGTATGAGATGCGAATGGTCGCGTGTGCTGTGCTGTATTACACCCTGTGACTTCATAGTTTGGCTTTGTACCAGAGTGTCGTTATCTAAGTACGCTTGGTGCGGTCGAGACCGAATGGACTGGTAGCGGACCAGTGTTGGAGATGAGGGGCAGTAAGCGTCGCGTTGGAAGCCGAGTATAGAGCCATGTCGTATCCATTCTTCTAATCTCTAGATCTTGCTTGTAGTGTGGAGTTGTTGTGCCCTTGAACGCCGCCCAATGCCCGTGTTTAATTCGTATCCGTACAGAGTGGTGTCCTTCGCTATGCAACAGATCGCCTACCCAATATCTTCATATACACATAATCATACACCATATGCCCCCGTCTCCCTTATCTCCTGACCCTAGAAATCACACCTCCCATCCTTCCACCCCGTCCTCCACCTCTCCTCCCACTTCTTGCAATCAAATTGCTCCTTCCCCAGCTTCTCATTCACAGCATTATGCGCCTCGCACATCCACTCTCCAAACTCGTTCCTCGAGCTGACTCTCGGTGTGTTCTTCTGCATCCACTTCTGGAAATCTTCGGCGCACACCCAGCATGGGTACAACTTGCCAAATGTGGTGAGGAAGGATTTGGTTTCGGATTGAAGTTGGGGAGAGGGGTTCGTGGGGTATGCGCCGGTTATGGAGTGGAGGAGGGTCCATGAGGAGCGGCCGAGGGCTTCGACGTCGGGTGGGCAGTCGGCGGGGAGGGATGGCGCAGTCGTGGTGGGAGCGGCGGCCGGTGTGCGCTTTTTGGGCATTTTGCCTGACATGGCCATGAGGGAGGTTAGGTCGTTGCAGGCTCGACATCTGTAAGTCGAACACATATGTTAGCAACAGTCTTCTTTGTAAAGATGGTAGTTATCCTGCGCGTATGTCTTCCGGCGCATTCGAGAGTTGACGGTACTTACGGCTTGCCATCTGGACCGAGTATAATGCCATTCGCCAGCTTCTTGTACCCAGGCCTTCCCGCGATATCCTGGCCTTCATCTTTCTCATTCGGTTCCTGCGCCATCTTCTGCTGTCTGGAAGCTCAGTGGTGGTTGTGATATGTCGCGGCGAGCAACTGGTGATTTCTAAGCTCTTCCATGATCGGACCTCGGCGGTATGCACGCGTTCCAGGGTCAACCATGTCGTGCGTCATCGCGCCTTCGCCGTTGACGGCGGTACATTTGCGGGTCATGCGTCGGCATCGGAGTTCGTAATTCTCGTGCATCCGTGACTTCGTAGCGCGATTGTAGACATGTTGTTGCTTTCGAATTACTCTTGGCGCGTAGATAAGAGGGAGGTTGTGGACGCGCAGTAGAGCGTGCAGACGATCCGCATTTGAACATTACAAACGCATCCTCCACATCCCGGCTATCACCGTCTGATCATGGATGTACCGGTGGCTGCGAATGTACTAGGAATGCTGGGAGCAGTACGTATTCTTCATGATCTCGAACGTAACCGTGCTGACCAGAAAAGGTGTGTTGGTCCATTCAGGTACCTACGTCTCCAACAACCATTATCGAGGAGCACAGCTAAGAGTGTGGTCTAGCTTATCCCACAAATCGTCATCAACTATCGCAGGCACAATGCTACTGGACTCCAGCCGACCATGATGATGTTGTGGGCATGGGCTGGGGTTCCTTTGGGCGTTTATAACATTGCTGAAGACTACAACATTGCTCTGCGCATACAGCCTCAGATTCTTACCGTACTGAGCCTGGTGACGTGGATCCAGTGTTATTACTATGAGAAGGTAAGTGGTTTCATCAACGGCTCGAGTGTGAATACGACAGCTAACATTCCAAAGAGTTGGTCGGTTCTTCGCTCGCTCGCAGTTGTGGTCCCTGTGGCGTGCCTCATGGGCGGTATTCAAGCTGGTCTCATCTTCGCCATTCAGCATGCCAAGTCAGAGGGACTGCATTGGCCCAGTATCCTCATGGCTGTTGCTTCAGCCGCTCTGCTTGCTGCTGGTGTCCTGAGACATTACGTGGATGTCTACGTTCACCGGACCGTTCGTGGCATATCCTTCATCTTTGTCGGTATTGATGCCCTGGGAGATCTCTTCTCCTTGGTGTCAGTCGTCTTCCAACCTAAGCTTGACGTCTTGGGTCTGGTCATATACGGCTCCGAACTGGTGCTGTGGATCGGCATCTTCCTGTGCGGAGCGTATTACAATCTCCCCTCGTGGTACGCTGCAAAGAAGGAGACGGAGAGGACCAACGAGGGCTTAGATGAGCCGAACAGTGGGCCGGCGGGCACGTCTGGGATCGCACTTCACGATCTGCCCTCCAGCACTTCCGTGTTCAGGACGCCATCGGGCGAAATTGAAGCGATCCGACAGCGCAGTATGGGCTCAATACGTGTTGCTGGTCTGGAACATCTACCGCGGAGGGTGTAGGTGAAGCGCAAATGCAGTCAACATTCAGCACATAATTTTGGCATGCGCATTTCACCCCACAAACCGTTTGCACCCCCAGCATCTTCTTCGTACAGAGGTCTAGGTCCTGCGGCTACCTCCGGTGCTGTGTTTGCCCGTGACGCGTTCGTTGCTTCCACGCTCTTGAACTTGGGCAGGCGCACGCACCTTCTCCACAATCACCATCCGCACTCCCCACACTCAGACCGGACAACTACCACCGACTACATTCACGCTCGACCTCCTGCGTCACAGAACATCAACTGCGTCACTATAATAACCCGGCGCCAGTAGCTGATACAAGTAAGCTAACCTGCACTTCCGCCGACTCCATCACCGTCCGCAACCAGAAGTCTGCTTCACCTGGTTCGGCCTATCACAGCGCTGGAATATCTCAGCAACACTAACGGGTTCAAATAGTCAGGAATACTCGCAAGTCAGCTCTCAGCTCCAACAGCATCATGACTTCCACCACTACGACCAAGGTCACCTCGCTGGACTCTCAGTCCGATGGCCCGTCGGTGCCGAACCCTACACCAGCCACTGAGTCTGTAGGCAGCCCCTACGAACCGGTAGACCCTCCTCCGGAGATGGACTATACTGCCGTCGCCAGGATTCTGGGCCCTATCCAAGAGTCGCTCAACGAGGCCGCCCTGGAGGCCGCCTACCCATCGCCACCCATCAACACACCCATCCTCGGTTCTCCAGCTCCGTCCGTTTCATATCGCTTCCCTGTGACCCGCGGTCGCGGCTTCAGTGTTGTTGGCGATAGACTCGCGCAGCTGAAGATCAATGACCGCAAGCTTCGTCACCGCGAGGGAGATGTGGGCTCCAGCAACTACTCACCAGAGGCATCCATCAACGAGGACGAAGAAGTCGATATTGCGAGCATATCCGAGGTGTTGAGCGACGGCGGTAGGGACAAGGAAGACCCAGGACAAGCTCGTAAGACCCTTGACCCCATCGATGTGACTGAGGGCTCAGTTCCTATCGCTTTAGGTTCCCCGGCCGTCAACCCGCGCATCGTAGAGTACCTGACCTTCACCTCCGACGACTTGCCTACGAACTCGGTTGCACCTTGCTTCCCCTCTACACTCATGAAGACAAGCACCGCGTCGATTAAGACCATCGTTGGCGGCAGCGACGGCGCTAGCTTGAAGAGCGATGGCGTCACTGAGAAGAGCAACTGGGCTGAGGAAATCGAAGACATGGTCGACCGTACATGCCTACGTCTCGAGCAGCTTGCCGACGATGAGTGGAAGCGTGATGGCAGCAAGAGCTTCGCCGATTACTACGTCGCTCGCCTTGAGCGTCTTCTCAGCAGCGCTAAGCGCTCCGTACCCGTCAGCATCCAGAAGAACAAGGAGAACCAGGAGTGAGAGGACAAGAATGGTGCGCCGAAGAAGCACTCATAAGTATGAAAATGGCGCAGGGAAAGGTGACGGCGTTCACGGTACGGGTAATGCTTTGTTTGTCTTCACGGTTAATGGCTCAAAAGTTGGACAAGTGCTGTCATGGTGTTCTATACCCATAATGTCTCTTCTTAACGATGCACGGGTCTACGATGATGATTCCACGATGTTAGGTTCAAGTAGTGGATCTGAAGTATCAGTAATGATAATGTGTCTTTTTCGAGATATATCCTGAACTTGCTGTGTACATGCCATGACACCTAAGTCAAGCGCGAGTACGATGCATTCCTCACACCCAGTCCCTGTAGGATAGCAACAACACCCAGCGTAATAGCCGTAGGTCTATCGTTACTCTTCCAGTAAGCTGCACCTGCGGCCGCCAGTAGGGTCGTCAAAACACCCGCGATGCTCTTGTCGTACACATCGTAGATACCCGTGACCGACCACTTGTAGTTGAGGATGCCTATCATAACGTCAATGAAAAACTTCTCGTATTTTTCCAATTCGCTTGTAGACTTACTCATGATAACAAAGAACCCGCTGCCCTCGTACCAACCGATCTTACTCGCGCCGCGCAGCATGAGTGGCAGTGTGTTCATCGTCGGATGTTTGAACTGGTCCAGACCTTTCAGCTACAACGCCTCATTAGCGCACTACCACATCGAGAAAACTTCTTGATATATTACCGTATGTCCAATCGCTAAAATGGCGTACGCAGCTGAAGAAGCCTGCAGCAAGGGGTGCGACTGTGAAGTTATCGACGTCATAGTGGTGAGTGCTGCTTTCTGAATCTTCTTAAAGCCGGTGCTGGGTATGAGAGAGATTACGAATTGGAAAACGGAGGAGAAGAAGAGGGTTCTGTGGTGTTTGCAGAAACGCGCATGTCGCGATCGCGTCGTTGTGATGCTTTTGGCTGGGACCGAGGTTGGTATGGATTGGGAACGGTTTCCCCACTTTTTGCGGGTCCGCCGGGAGGTTGGTGTACGCAGGTCGGTGGCGACGCGACTTCGCAAGAAGACGGTGACTGACACTGCCTACAGGGCCAGATTGGACATGCAGTTTGCTGGCTTTGAGAGAGGATGCGTTGTCTCCTTTGCAGTGCCTGAGATGCAAAATCACCAGTTTAGACGAGACCTTTTCGTGATCGGTGGGATACCCGGGTACCTAGGTATACTTCATTTATGGACTTCGCTGCAAGCCAGAACTCATCACTACATGTAGCGATTGTGCTGACTGGGTCTAGGCTTGCGACTGTGATGTTTGTGTGGGCATTCTCTCCGGCTGTCTTGAGCATCGCTCACGCTGTGTGTTCATCTCGTTGACCAGTACGAAGTGGTTTTCAGACTAGACAGGAACGTTCTGGTTTGCATTGCATCTCATTCGCTGATTATATCTGGTAGGTGTGTGCACTGCCCCACAGCTCCAGCCACCACACCTAACCCCGCTGTCCATCGCTCATCGAATTCGCTCGTCTGTGCTGAATCGAAATCACTTATTGGTTCGCATGGAAGAGGGTTCTGATATCCAAAGTTTTATCAACGTGAGTACTGTCAGAGTTCCATCCAATAGATCAGAAACACTCGTCTCTAACGCCCCGGCCCTAAAGACCCGGAGCCCTTCGCCAAGGGTAGTGATGTCGGGTGAAGAGGATGTCCGGGCTCCTGGTGTATGTGGAAACCAAGCTCAGCCAGCCTGCTTCGGAGTTAGCCAACTTCAGATACCGAAGCGCCCAGAAATGGAAAGACTTTGCTCCACGTGTATGAGCCTCGGTCGTCTGAATAGCACGCACTGGGAAGACATCAACGACTTCCGCGAGGTTATTGTCAATCATCACCACTCGGTTGATGCTTTACTCAAGAGTGCACGTGAAGGTTGCCATCTTTGTGGGTTACTTTTGATAGCATGGGAGGACAACTGTCGCTTGGACCAAGAACCCGGGGGTGGATGGGTTGGCAAAGATGGTTTCAAGTCAATTCCGTTCAATGATGGCATCAGACTCAAATTTCAGAGGGTGAAGAAGACGTATATGGGTGCCGTCGATGAGGTACAGCTTACTATACTTTGTGGGGACTCGCTGTTTGATTACGGCGGACACCTGATCTGTAAAGCTATGGATAGTGAGCATTCTTCAATTCCGTAGGATTTCCAGTTCTTCAGGCTAAATTGTGGAACAGCCGAACATCATACCTTACCGAAAGCATGCCTCCCATCAGGAGACGACACCAATACGGGCTCATCGGCAAGTTTGTCCAGGATCAAAGCCTGGATGGATATCTGCACAAGTTCACATCCCAAATGTTCCCAGGTTGATTCTCAGCCTCCACCATTACCAACGAGAGTCATCGCGGTAGGAACTAAAGGATCTAGCAAAAGCTATCTAGTGTCTGGAGATAAGAAGAGAGGTTACTACGCCACTCTAAGCCACTGCTGGGGAGGTCCCAACAATCGACCGTTGTCGTCGACGGATCAGACCCTTTCGTGTCGACAGCAAGGCATCGAAGACGAGTCATTGCCGAAAACGTTTCGACACGCGGTTCATGTATGCAGGGAGTTGGGCATAGAGTATATTTGGATCGACTCTCTGTGTATCATCCAAGCGCAAGAAACACAAGAAGACTGGGCAAAAGAAGCACCAAAAATGGGAGTTGTATACGGCAATTCAATCTTGAACATTTCAGCGGCGGCAGCAGCAGATTCCACGCAAGGCTGTTTCAAAGAGCGCCTTGGTCTGTTCTGCTGGCCATGTCCAATCACACTGTTCGGACAGGCATGCTATCTGTTCCGACATCCAACGGGTGTAGAACTCATCTGCGCTGATCCCGGAGACCTTGATATTTCAAAGAATGTCTTAGCCCAAAGAGCGTGGGTACTTCAGGAGCAGGTCTTATCTCGCCGCTCCATCACATTTTCGAAAACTCTTCTCATTTGGCGTTGCCGGACGCTATCGACCAACGAGAAGTACCCTTTGGGAATACCGCACGCTCAGGGTATATTGGTTGACAATTATCGTCTTCTTCACTGCCTAATAAATGGTGTACCTTTACCCATGCCGAAAACGCCAATGATCTACTTCTATACCTGCTGGTACAGAATAGTGACAGATTTTACAGGTCGGGATCTCACATACGAGGAGGATAGACTATCTGCAATTGCTGGCATTGCGAAAAGGTTTGGGGGGGTAGTAGATGACACCTATCACGCAGGGCTGTGGAGGCGCGATATGATCACGGGTTTACTTTGGAATCCAGGACGTACTCCCGGCAAACACAGAACTAGATCCGCCAGGGCACCGTCATGGTCATGGGCTTCAATCGGTGGTGGTGTGACCTATCAGAACCTTCTCTCGTTCTCTGCAGTTCGCATCCCCTTCTTACCACTGGTCGATATTCTCGATGTTTTTGACCCACCAACCTGTGTCGAGCATCCGTTCGGAGTGACTTCGAAGGCATCCTTGAGCTTGTCTGGCGTCTTAATAGCAGTGGTGCAAAACGAGCACGAAGACTCAAGGCCAGCTCTGATCGATGAGGGCACCCACTTTGAGCACCGTGGTAATATTCTCATCTCGGACGTCGGGAATTTTGACCAGTTAGATCTAGCGTGCTTGTTCTATCTACCCGTTGGATTAGCCGTTGCTTATGACTATGAACAAGTCCTGCAAAACAAGGGCGATTTGCACAGATTCTTCTTGGAAACATCACTGGAGACAGAAAAGCAAGACCGCTTGGCATTTGACCACGTGTACTGCTTGATCCTGGAGATTGCCCAAGGAAAGCAAGACACTTACAGGCGAGTAGGGCTATGTATTGTGGGCTACTATCAGAACATTGAGGTTATTAGCCCAGCCGTGCTTGGAGAACGCAGGTCCATAACTCTTATTTGAAAGTCCTTTGCTTCGCCCATATACAGCTTAGCTAATGACTTCTCTTTTCTTTTACATTCCCTAGAGTATCAACGCCAAGATTGAGAACAAGACATGTGGCAAGTGACGAAGCTAGCAAAGTAGACAAGATCCATCGCACAAAATTGCCTTACTATAGTGAAAGTTTAACTATAGCTGACCCAAAGCGAGCTTAATTGACACGATGCGTTGCGAGACCCCTATGACTAGTGCAATTTCTGGCTGGTAGTACTTAAAGACTAAGAGCTCTTCTGAGATTACCTATCTGAATTCGCTCGCATAAACTCAGTAATCAACCCCATCAGCGCAATGCCCGCACCACCCACAATCTTTATCGCAAAGCGCCCAATTCTGGTCATCGTCGTCCCACACCGTCCGAGCATGTTCGTGTGCCCACGCGCCTTCATCAGAGTACTCGCCCTCGCTGTCGATGTCGCTAGACGTGGCTTCTTCAATTGAAGTGGAGGTCACTCCTGATATGCGGGATTGTGCTTGGTGACACGAAGCCTCGATAGCATGTCAGCGTTCGAACAATACCTCCCACGACGCAAGATTCTGAACTTACACTCCCCGAACCCGAATACCCACCCACTTCAATCGCAGGGTTTGTGCGAGCCAGCTTTTGCTTATGCGACGACGATGTCTCATGCTGTAACACAGCCTGCTTACTTCCAAAAGACCTCTTACAAACTTCGCACCTAAAATTGGTAATATGAGACGGTGCAACACTTGAGGACGGCGCAATGCTATGAGACGGTGCATCGCGATGCTGCTCCATTGCTTTCTGGCTGCAGAACCGGCGGTTGCATTTGTGACATGTGTGAGCGCGGCGAGACATTGTTTCATTGGTGCCCGTGTGGCCTCTTAGCGCGGTTTCGGAAGGGAAAGACTTGGAGCAGATGGGACACTGGTTCGCCATGTTGGAGAGGGGTGAGTCGAGAGAGAGGCGAGATACTTGGAGGTAAAGTCTATGTACCCCACTTTGTGTCACCATGCACTCCCCTAAATATGGTTGGGATCGACTGCTATGAAATAAATGCAAAATGAAACCTGGTCAGAGAGGGCAGCATAACCTACTACGTTGAAAGGTGGGTACAGTTTGATTCTTCTGCTTCACTTCGCTGATCACTTCATGGCTCAATATTGCCTATGATTTTCATTTGTTGTAACTAGCACACCGTAATCTCTCTCATAGACCAAAGTTATGCTTGGGTATCATATGCCAATCCGTCATGTAGACCTCGACTCATTCGCCACCATTCAAATCACGTAACTTGCGCCCTTCCCCTTCATCTCCCTTCTCTCACTCTCTTACAGCCTCTCCGTTACCAGTCTTAGTGCTCTTCTCAGTACCCTCTCCTTCCTTCATTCTGTCGTCAATCCCTCCATCATACTGCCTTGCGGCCGGCAAAGCAGGCAGAATGCCGCTAGCAATGGCATCGAGATCAGATGGCATGCAAGTGGCCGGCGAAGTATAAGGACCCGTAGTGTCTTGCTCCGCACCCAGCTTATCAACTTTCTGTTCGGCCCACGCGATGGCGCCGTCGACTGCGGTTTTGACAGTCTGGACGACTTCTGAGACGATGGCTGCGGCGGTCGGGGTGGCTTCGGTGGTGCCGTCCGTGCTGATCGTGCTATTATCCGACGCTGATCTTGGGGATGCAGATGAAGACTTCGTAGTATCTTGTGTTTGGTGAGGAGAGTTCTGACAGGCGTCAGTATGTGTTGGGAATAGGGTGAACGTGAGAGAAGCATACTCGTTGCCTAGCTGGCGACTTCTCCTCCGTGTTTGGAGTCGTGACAGCTTCAAGTGCTTTCGGCCTCATAGTTTGTGTGGTGAGAGCGTCGAGTGCTTCCGGCTTCATGCTTTGGGTCGTACAAAGAAGCTACCCTTGCAGATTGGTTTTTGTGTTACTTAGTCGATCGCGCGGTCCTCCGAGGTGTGCCAATGTAGGTTGCTTGTGCATGCGGCCGAATGGCAGCAGGCGGCGATCTCCGCAGGTCCTTCTCGAAGTACTTGTTTGTTTGTTTGCCATTTTGGGACTGTACCGCCCTTTCCTATTCGGCATGGCGATGTGTTTGTACCCGCGTAATAGGAAGCGACACCCCCACGAAAACGACTCGGATGACGACGACCGAAATCCTGCGCGCTGACAACGACACCATCGTAGTCTTTTTGATTAGCTGTGAGTATTGCTTCCCGATCGTCTAGTGAGCCAGATAACATTCTCACTCAAACGACTGCATCCTTTCCCCAAGGCTGCCGAGGCGAGGATTCGCAAAAGCTGAATGGCGGTCGTTTGTGGTGATTGTTTGATTATCGACGAGCTCATGAGGCAGATGATCTCAATACTCGATACTGCCCGCTCTATCGACTTCATCGTCATATTTCAGGTTCAATCTGAAAGTAGTAGCCAGGGCTTCTGTTTAGGCCTAGTTCACGTATCCGAGTGTCTGCCCCAGAAAACCAAAATAGTCGGCTTCGTTCCCAGAATGCAGCACTTGATGCATCGGTAGCCTTGCAATACCGTGCCCAGATAGAGTACTCTGAGCGTACATGACGTTGCTGAGTTGGCTTGACATCTGCCGTTGCATCAAGGAGCCGATAAGCCTAACCCTGACGCAACACCGATCATGACCACTCCTGCGTCACGCATCGCATTTTCTGCCTTGTCAGAGACAGCGAACGCATTTTCCTGCCGACCGAACCACTCGCGACCGCCTGAACAGACTCCACGATACCGAACGGTAGTCAGATTCAGGTACCCACCGGCTATTCACCCTGCGCTCAGAAGGCAGAAGGCATAGCCTGAGACATAGACACCAGACTACGCCATTGAGCAGAAAGCATCCTGGTCATGTCGACTTACCGAGCGTCTACCCCATCATGTGGCGCACGACTGGGGTTGAACCGCTTGAAGCGCAGATCAATACGTCCAAGACATGTCTTCTTTCTCGTCTTCTAGAAGCTTTGCCTCACTGATTGCGCCATCGCAGGTCATTCGGCCCCTAGGCTAAGCTATACGAAGACAGACGACTCCGTGTCTTGGAACTGCACTATGGCTGTCGTTATGCCGCTTCGACTCAGCGTTGAGTCAGTCGATGAGAGCGTTCTGTACACGGTGTTGGATCACCGGCACACGCATAGTCGAAGTCAATGAATCCTAGGACGCAGTGCCGGAGTCAGCAGCGAACATCACTGGCTGAGACCCCAGCCGTTGTGTGGAAGAGTCCACTTGTTCTACGGCTCCTACAGGTACCTAGGTAGACGCCAGGATATACCTGGTAATTGCACTTGGGCAGCAGGTAATATGAGTTGCTGCATGGAAGCATGCTCGCGCCTATCAGACGAGTCGCAAATCTTCGAGTGGAGTTCGAGTGGCTTGGTAGCAATATGGAAATGCAGCGGACTTGTGAAGGCGTAGCGCGAATGATCAGGAGATGCTGTTGATGCAGGTCCACTGCCGCCGTTCGCTGATCACAGTCATGCTGAACCCACCATGCCAAGGCAATAGCATGCGCAGTACGATCTTAGGTCGGCCGTTTTCCTGGTGTATTAGCCTATTGTACGCGGTTAGCACGCTGGAGAGTTGGAGGGCAGGCATCTCGCTTCGCAGGCCTCTCCAGACACACCGCATGCCTCGCATGCTCCGTGCTTCCTGCAGACCCTTCTGTAAGCAGGCTGCCACCACTCGTTTGAGGCTGCCACCACCACTACGCTGATCGTGTGTCTACAAACGTCCGCCATGTTGCAGGCAATTTATCGTCGACCGGGCGAAGCTGCGGCCGTGGGTGGGTAGCATCATCACCGTGCCGGCCACGGCTCGACGCGAGACCCTTGGAAGGATCACTGGCGCCATTTTTTGATTGTCAGAGCGCAAATGTGGAGTGCTTGATGCCCTTGTCACCCCCGCATTCGCCTCGCTCATCTCGCAGAGCCCGTTTCGTGACATGTGTAGGTGTAGGAGCTAAGGATGAGGCGAGATTTGGTGTGGTTATAATCGTCGTGCGTCCTGCCGTCCCATCTTCACGCCGAATTGCTGTGTCCTGCTTTCATCAGCAACGCCTATCTCACACCCTGTGCCGCCTTGGAATCCAGTACTCTGTCTCGATATCGTGGCTGCACGCCGCAGAAGTTGTGCAGCGTGCCCCGGCCGCTGTCTAACCGTCCACCAATCATGGCTGGAATTACTCCTTCTCCAGATGTTAGTCCCGTGTCAGCGGCGACCACTAATGGAGGCTTCCCACGCGACGCCTTCTGCCTCAATCTCTCCGCTCTGCCCGACGCAAATACCTTTATCCTCAAATCCGCCCTGACGTCTCCTCATCTGCTCGACCCCCCGAATGGACTGTTCACTGGAAACGGTGGTTTGAGTAATCCCTTCAAGAAGCGGCCCCGCAACATGTCTCAATCATCTGGTACAGACCGGGAAATGTCCAATGACAACACCCCGCCCGCGTCGAATGGAATCGCACCTACTAGCAATGGTACCAACGGCACGAGCACCGAACAGCGACCGAGCACAAAGAAGCGCCCAAGTACCGACACGATAGACTACCCGCGCCGGCGTGCGACGATCGCTGTACATCATCCTTATTTCGACTCCTCTATCTCAAAAAACTGACATCAAATAGTGCGAAATATGTCGGTCCCGAAAGAGTCGATGCGACGGAAACAGGCCAAAGTGCAGGTTGTGTACAGAGCTGAATGCCGAGTGCATATACCGAGAGCCGGGCATTAAACTGGACGCAGGTGACAAGCTAATCCTAGAGCATCTGAACCGCATCGAGGGTCTTTTACAATCTGGCATCACTAGCAACTTCTCATTATCATCGCATTCGCCAGCCGCGAGCAATTCCACCAGCGAAGATTTCCTAGCCCGTAGCACCGGCAATATACCCCATCTCGGCATGGTACAGCCGATCAACGGCATAGGAACATGGACCAACCACCCGTCAAACATCTCGACCATGCCGAAAACCCACAATACTGCGGCACTCAATCTGCTGTCATCTCCCATGATCAGAGAGCTCGTGTCTCGCCAATATGACGCCAAGCTTCTTCTCCAGCTCGAGATGACTCGGGAGTCAGTAAGCCTTGGGACGAGCCGTGGGCTGGATCTCTCAAATACTGGCGCATACGTGCAGGCGTACTTTGAGAGAGTGAATGTCTTCTACGCGGTCGTAAATCCTTATACATGGAGTAGCCACTACCAGACTGCCCTCAGCCACGGTTTCCGAGATGGGCCTGAAAGCTGCATAGTTCTTCTCGTTCTTGCGCTAGGTCATGCTGCAAGCACCGGCAGTATTACACAGCAAAACCCAGAAAAGGATCCTCCAGGGTTGGCATACTTTACCGCAGCATGGAGCCTGCTACCGACCGTCATGACAAGGAACAACATGGTAGCTGCACAATGTCAAATCCTCGCCGCAGCATACTTGGTGTATCTTGTACGCCCAGTCGAAGCTTGGAACGTATTATCAGGCGCCAGCATGAAACTGCAGCTTCTTCTGAGCGCGCCTGGTCGCGTGTCTCCAGCGGAAGAGGAGTTGGGCAGAAGAGTGTACTGGAATGCTGTGATGATCGAAAGCGACCTACTAGCAGAGCTCGATCTTCCCCATTCCGGCCTCGCTCAATTTGAGGAAGGCTTTGCACTGCCGACCGGATTTGAGGATCTAGGAACAGAAGCAGTTGGCCGAGATGAACTGTGGTATTTCCTTGCAGAGATTGCCCTTCGTAGACTACTCAACCGTGTGAGCTCCATGCTCTACATCCGAACGACACCCTATTCCAAAGGCCCAGCTGCGACATCCATCGCTCAACTGGATCCTTTGGTTGTGGAACTTGACTACCAACTGAACCAATGGTACGCTGGGCTACCACCAGCCATGCAGTTCCCGCTCGATAGAGTACCTTTGCAGAACCCGGTTCAGACCGTTTTGAGACTGCGCTACTTCGCATGCCGTACCATCATATTCCGCCCATACGTGCTTTTGGTCTTGCAGGACGAGACTTTGGCCATGGATTCGAGTGTGCAGGATAATTGCCACAAGTGCTTGGAGGCATGCGTTCGTCAACTGGAGTACATCACTGCGCACCACGCTGGACATCTGCCTTATCTGTTCCAGGGCGCTCTCTCGTAAGTTTCACCAATTGCCAACATTGCGTTTGCTGACAGTTTTGTAGCATCATCTCCCAGACGTTGCTCATCATGGGCGCAACAATGACTCCTTCGCTATCTCAGCTACTTCCCCCACCAGCGACTATGGACGATATCATCAACAACGTTGTTCTGGAAATGGAGCGATACGCTCACCTCGCACCTAGCCTACAGCTTTCCGCTGAGATCATTCGCGAAGCTGAAGGAAAGCGACAGATGTGGCTACGGACAGCAGGACTCAAATTTGACGTATGACTCTGATCTCGCAGTACCGGACTGCCACCCAGTACATGACTACGACTGTGGGCTCTTCAAAGCAGGAAAGCTACAACGTAGATCCACATGCTCGCCAGACCTGTGTAGCTGAAGCTACCTTCCACTTCTGGTAGCCTCCGCGTACCATATGATGGATCAGCAAGTCGAGCGGCGATCGCACGCGACAGCGATTATCATCTACACGACACACGCGGCGCTTCTCGACGAACCCATTTCTGGGTCCAGCACAGACCTTCATCCCCAACATCCTGTATCGGACGTTGAGACAAATAAGTACTAGGTCTCCATCAACCAGGTCCTCACATCTGCCGCACCCCGAGTGTACATGCCGAGAGTGATTGGCGAGTCGCTGCTCAATATGGGGCAATTTGGCATGACACAGTGTCTAC